TATATATATAAATAAAAGCCTTTACCTTTTGGTGTGGTTTACATGAAAGCAAGTGCATTTTTCTATTATTCTGTAAAATTACCTCTATTATCCAGGACTATCAATCTTTCCAGGCTCTGCTTAATGTGACAGTAAAAGAGGGAAGTTTAAAAAAAAAAAAAGGCTGTTCATAACCGAAGATATATTTAACAATAGGACATGAAGTGTTTGATTCACGTAGCTTAAATTCCCTTTAAGCGCAGCTATTTACATATGCCCACAGGGTAGTGGCAGGACGGGCCAGGTTGAGACAACTGCCCTTCTCCAAAGCCACCTTTTGGGGTGCGATGGAGAGGGCTGAATAGCTCAGGTTGCAGGATGCAACCTCCAAACTGCTGGTTCAAATGAAGGTGGGGGATGATCTACATTTGCTCTGGTCACTGTCTACAGCTGGCCGGTGGTTTTGGTCCGCTCCCAGACCTGGCGAGTGCTCGCCTAACCAAAACCCCCAAAACAGCTACTCTGCTTGTTGGCGTTCTCGGACACCGCGGACTGAGAGAACGAGCAGAACAGGCTATTCCCTCTTGCAGCACACAGTCCCGCTTGCAAATCCTCATTTTGCCGTTCCACCCTTGTACTTTTGCCTCCTTGATCAAACACCGGAGAAGAGATGAGCAAGACCACAAAGATGGGTAACTAACTGGGTGACTACATGATTACTGGGGACCATGCTTTATAGGTCAAGCAAGCCTCCACTTATCCTTGGTGGAACAAAGCCCTCATTAAAACGCATCCTCCTCCTCCTAGATAACTAACCGTTTTACAAAAACAATGCAAAGGTGGATTTTTTTCCTATTAGTTTGCAATGCTGAGGGCAAGCACATGTCAGATCTTCACTCCCAGCACCCCCTCCCCTGGCCACGAGACTGACAATATTTACTATAAAAGAGAGATTCTAATTAGCTCTTTCCTGATGAGGCAGCAGATAAGAACAGTAAAGGAAGATTTATGATTTAAACAGGACTGAAGTATCGCTGTGGTTAGCTTTGGTGGTTTTGATTAGTTACTGAACATTTGCTGCTGTGATTGTTTTATAGACCCTCCTAATGGACTGAGACGTGGAACTTTAAAATATTGTTTCACAATATCCCTAGGAATGGAATACATATTCCTTAAAACAATATTACGAAAAGCAGACTGGCTACGGGGGAAGGAAGAAGAAAGTTAATAAAAAATGACAGTGTACCTGGCTCCCTGCCAAAGACC